TATATATATATATATGTATATATATATATGTATATATATATACACACAGGGTATGATACAAGGGTTAGACAACTGAAGGGGAAGAAGTCTCAAGGATCCTTTTCATCTTCTCGCGCTTCTGTCGTCTTTATTCTCACGTAATCCTCTATGGAAGTTGCACTTTCTCCAGTGTTGTGCTGACCTAGCCCCCTTCCGACCGCCAAGCAGAGCTGTCATAACTTAGCGTACGAGAATTTTCAGCTGTCACTCGGTCGAATGTTACATCTGTGTTTGTGCCGTCGATAACGAACAAGTGAGGTAAGCATGGACTAAGATTTTTGTATCTTTTATTATTATTACAGAAAAAGACATCGCAATAGCACGGGCTGCACACGACGACGGCAGACAGACAGGACGTTGTTTTCTGCACACTCGCATTCGTACAAAGCTCTATATAATAGCTTCGGTCAAGAGGATCTCTGTATATAATATATACTATTGCATCACTACAAGCTGACTTTAATTTCTCCTACATTTCTCGAAGTGTTTGAGCTTAACGCCGAAAGCTGAAGGAACCCTTTCGTGAAGATCTCCGCCCTCATAATCCTAGCATATTGCTCGGTGCTCGCTCTTTCTCATTTTTTTTTCGCGTCAACAAAATAACATTTAAGATGTTAGATGCATATTTTTACATTGTGATTTGTTATTCATTTTTAGTCATCATGTCTAACATTGCTTCGAGCTTCTTCAATAATTTCTTACGACTTATCGCAGCCGTTATTTCGATGACGTTAATTGCCATCTTTTTCTATACTCCATTGGTAGTATTCCTATCGATTCTTGCTAGATGTCTGTGTTCGACTCCAGTCGCCACATCGCCGCGTGTTTTTTTCGAAGCTTTTCTTATTTCGGCCGTAAATACAAGAGTACAGTTTCCATAACGGTAACAAACCTCAGCAAGTTCTATCGTCCCGTAAATTTAAAGACATATTATCGTTCTCCCGCCGATAAGAGGCTATTCATGAGCGGATAGCCACACGGATTCCACGACCCACTGCCTTCTGGCCGCCTGAGCATTCTCTCCTGAGCTTTTGGCTTCACCTTTGACCAGCAGTGGTAGCAGCACAAAATTACTGCTCGGAGAAATCGCCGGCGGCCGTCTGTTTTTTCCCTCCACCTGTATCGTCGAAGATGCGTATCGTTTTATTTCGATGATGATTATTATTATCATTCTAGTTCTTTTCATTTAGTACTACTACCACTACACAGCCACAGTGCTACGATTACGAAAGCAGATCAAGCCATCGCCACATACTGCTCATTCACTCACCCGTAAATTCGATATATGCGGAAGGCCTACCTTTATTTACCTTTTTCCGCGCCTACGCCTGTCTTCCGGTTTCTCCTCTCGAATCTTAAGAAGAAGCCTATTCTCACTACTTTTGCACCTACTGTGTCATCTGTTTCGATCCTTATAAGCCACCGACTTTAATTCTCAAGTTTTTACACAGCTACAAGTATTCGCGACTGGCTTTGAAAAATTGAAATTAAGCAAAATCTCGGGGAAAACCTTATGGCTGCAAGTCCGCAAAGAGATAATTCTTATATTCAGATAAACTTAACAAAGATATACAATGTACGTAAATTGTTTAACGCGCATACCGTGTTCATCAGGCTTTCCGCTTGTTTTCTTTTTTTACTAGATATGAATATCATAACAGTTTTCCGACTAAGTATCACGTTGGTTATTTTTCTGGCCTTGAGAGATACTGGCCATGAAACCATTCGAGTGCAAATGCATATCACACGCCCACATATGCTAGGTCTCGCTTATTAGTAACCGCATCAAACACTAACGTGGGGTCAGCTTTGGCGGTGTGGCTGGTTACATTGTATATTTGTTTTGCTAAGTCTTTTCTTATTATGGCTTGTTATTCTCAGTCCATGTGCATATGGTTTTCCTCTTCTGGTTCAGGAGGTACGAATAGAGCGCGAGGTGCTCCCTCTGGCCTATCATGATGGCCTATTACCGGACTTATTTGCTCGCGACGCCGTCGCGTATCGAAATCTGTATGGCACAATGGGCAGTGATTCTGCATGAAAAGCCAACGACGCAAGCAATTGACGTGGTAGAAGTGTTCACACTCGGTGACAACTGCTGAGTCCATCTCGTGATGGCAGATAGCGCAGACATCGTTCAGATTCTCCAGCTGCTCCGGCGTTGCGCGGCGGAGCTCTGCCAGCCGGCGACCAGCTTCCCGGCGTCGTACACTGTTGGCCCAGCCCTGCTTAGCCTGTGTCCACACATTGAAGTACGCGTGGAAAAGTATTGTGAAGGCGCGAATGGTGCCGCCTTGCTCGAAAAAAAAAATCCACGCACCGTTTAGCAGTAGGAAAGTGCCGAATAATAGTTCCATACATGCTCCAAACGCGCGAACAGTGTAGACGTAATCGTCGAACAGTTCCCATGAGCTGTCGAGGCGAGCGTCAATTAGAAACAGGACGTAGACAATCAACGATACGATAACCTTGAATACGACCTCCGTACTGAAGCAGCTCAATGCTAGGAGCCATGTACTGAGTGGGTGACGCGTCCAGGCCACGTACATAAAGAAAATAGGGAATACGATAAGAAACGCGCTCACCAGTAATGCTCGTACGTGCCTCTCTCTCGGTAAATTCAGTGAAGCGCCAAGCATCTGCAAAAGCGAATTAATCATTGAGTGGAAGAAGTGCAGGGTGGCTGTCATCAAAAGGCATCCGTTCTGATACAGTCGGTTCAGCCGTTTCTCCGGCTCCATGCCAGTTAGCCCTGACTGCATGGCTAACACAAAAAACAAAATCGCTGATACCATTCCCATGTGCCTTTCGTCGGCATCGTCCATCTGCAAAAAGAGCTTTACCGCCAACGAGATGTAGTGGCTGGCGACACTAACCAAGCTTGTCATACCCATAACCGACAGTGTTGTTTCACAGCCACGAACAAGAAGCTGAGTTGCTACTTGGGGCAGTTGGGCGCCCAAAGCGAGCCAGCTGCCGAGCTGTCCGTCAGCGTGCCGTTCAGCCAGCAACACAGAAGCATGTTCTGCCATTCGACTCAGCCAAAACAATCGGAGAACTCGAGGAACCTGTAATCGACGCCACTGCGCTTTGAGCAGGAAGAAGATTCCTTCGCCGGCGATCACCTGTTTGGTCCAGAACGCCGTTTCGTGTAAATACTGCATCGCGGGCTGTAGGAAAACGCGTAGACCGTACAACAGAACGATGTGGGCGGCAAGAAATGAGATAGCTGGTGTCCAAGCCAGGAACGAATTGGATAGAAAAGGTGAAAATAATGAGAAAAATGTAGGTCCAATAAAGATTATCCACAGACAGAATAAGCGTGATGTGGAATATCCGCTGCCTAATGTATTGTGTCCGCCCTGCGCCGAAAATGAGAAAATGATCCCCAAAAGCACCTGCAGTACATAGTTGGCCAGTGTCTGCGAGGAGATAGCAAAGAACAATAGCAAAATAATTAATATTTCGTTAGTGCCTCTTGCTAGAGCGTCGATGAATGGAAAACAAGAGAGAATGATTTTAGTTTTGAGTATCTGAACAATTTTGTACGCATGTCACGTCCGCTTGAAGTTTCGTGTTGCGTCGTATGCATGAGATTGTGCGGTGTTTACGCATTTTCTCATATAAATTTACCTCAGCGGGTTTAGTGTTGCTGTTTTATATCAGGCATCTATATATACATCCTATCTAATGGTCTCAAAAAGTTAGTTCTTATAGAAAATGGCGTATCCTAGAATCGTCGAAATCAAATAAACATTTCATTCTGCTCAATTAGCTATATGTACCTTAGTAAGAACGCTGGAATTGAGCGTGAGGCACTCGTACAACACGTTCGAATGTTGGTCGGTAAGAGCAATGGCACTTTTGACAAACTCATGATTGCACACGTATGACCAGAGAAGAACGCCTGACGAAGCCAGGAACAAGTAGACTCGCAGTAGCTGACGTGACTCCAACAGGAATACAACGGATGAAAAAAAAAACACTGAAAAGATTTCACAGAAATGAATTGGGGGAATAATGGGCATATAAACTGGAGCAGTAATAAACCATGTGTATCTATTATCGTTAGAGGTTTAGAAGCGCAATCTGATGAACATAAACCAAATGTGCTCGCGCATTCACTACTTACGCTAGTGAGACAGTATCGTTATTCCTAGAAGCATTGTTGGAATGAAACAATTATTACTATTTAATAGTTACTGCTATGGAATTTACCCCAAGCTCAATGAGCGTGCATAAAGCGTTTGTTATTTTTGGTTCCTGTGCAAAAATTCACGCCAAGTCACGCATAAAACTAACAAATTAAATACGCGCGGCAAACGGACAGTTCCTCTTTGATGAGTTAGTGAAATCTTCTATAGCGTATGTCGATATCTGTGAATTTTTACGTATATAGAGACCATTACACAAATGGCTGTTTAGGTTGTCTTGACGTTCGTCACGCGTAATATTGGCTTGACTAAGAAACACATTGGTGGAAACGAGATGTTTGGGAAAATATAATTTACGACTAAGAGTACAAACGTAGATCACATAGGCTCTAATCTGAGTTAGTGATCTTTGCTTATGCGACTACCTCGAGCAGCAACGGTCCCTCTCCAATAGTGAACACTTTTAAGCTAGACTTCGTTTATATTCTCTCGTTTTAATGTAACCAAAATACCCGCGAAGAGCTGCTACGCGGTTTTTGAGCGTAAAAAAACAAACAACTACTTAAGAGTTATATAATTCAGACTTACGGGTGGCGTAAACGAGAAACCACAACATAGCGTTAATGCCGGCCTCGAGAGTGGCCTGTTCTACCTCGGCTCCCGCTGAATCGGATGAGTTTGAGCCTTTTGCAGCTGAATCGGACGGAACACCATTCCATCGTGCCAGTAAAGAGTCCATTACGAAGAGAGGTGGAACTCGAATGGCGACGTCGACAAAAGCCCGAATTCGAGCCTTCCATTCCGTGCCTACTTCCAGTCCTCTGAACACCTGGCCGGCATTTCCTGCTGCGGGAAATACTGGCGGCCTCCGAACGGGACGACCCGCTGCTGCTAAACCTGCGTCCTGCTCTCCAACAATCACACCCCCAATGCTTCCTGGCCCTGTGCCCTCCATGTCCACCTATAAGTGGAAAACCAGAGATATTAGATTAAAAGTATCACATTAAAGCATCAACAGTGGGCTTTCTGATAAGAGCAATCGACGCAGAACTTCACATAATTTTCAAATAAACGCAGCATAAATAAACGCTTCTAGTTATAGATCCGGTACTGCTTTTAAGCATTGCTTTAGACTGTCGGCTGTTAATACAAGACGAAGTGTGTCTACACTCGCTGTTGTCTCCAAAGAAATAACATTCATATACTACTTAAAGCTTAATTGGAGTGAATTTGATAAGTATATCCTATCACTAGCTGAGGGCGTTCAGTACGGCAATATTTCAACTAAACACTGCCGCAATCGGCGCACCTAACCTAAATGAAACACGTATTTGAAGATCTTTTTGATATCTTATCGCCACAGAATGTTTTCCGCATCTTCCAAATGTTATGATTACAGTTTAACGAAAGAAAAATTTTGCTCATGGAGATCGATCGCATATCGATGTCTGTTTCTCATGAAATAACGATAGGTTTTTTCATATGAAGCATATACAATACGTTGCCTACGAAGAATTAGAAGTAGAACAGGTTTTAATACATAGGCAGAGACTGTCTTTATGAATGAAAACCTAGTAATTTACTATTCAAATGGCCTGAATATATATTATAAGGGAACATGTTTGTCCAATTATTAATTACACTAAATATATTTCGGCTATATGTTTTAGCTATACTATAAAATAAAAGTTTAAGTGCCATAGACAAACTAGGTTTCCAAGCTATAAACGTGCTGTTACACATTTATATATATATAAATTTGTCAGTATATATATACATATATATATATATATATATATTTTGCTTTATAACATTTTGAACGATCAGAACTTACGTATTGCTGGCCAAAAAAAATATGTGACCTTTAAAGAACCTAAATTTGACTTAGGCAGTTGCTGGCCTTTCAGCAAAACAGAAGTGCTTGATTTGACAACAGCTGTTTTCTTAGCTGATTTTGTAGGAGAGTGGTAGAGCAGAACAGCAAATATATCTATTTGTATCGATCTGCAGCTTAATGCAAAGATAACAAGCTGATAATAGAACGTATGGGTATTTCAGCTTTTGAGTTTTGTTTATTACGTGCTTATAGAATCGTTCGGGAAAAACGCCCGAAAGAAGTCACGGTATTCTGCTAATCAGTAAGAGTTTCCCTAACAGGTAACTTGGTCAAGATAGGTGCCTGTATATTCAGGACTGTAACTTGATAAGAAGCTCTGACGAACGCATTTCATACACGTAGTTACAGAGAACCTTACTAAGATACGAGAATTCCTTATACTGAAGGATCTAAGGGTGCAGGACGCATACAGTTTATTGCGTACGTTGCCGAATCTATAGCTCTATTAGGAACAACAGTACTACTCGAATCTCCATCAAGCACAAACGAACAAAAGCATCTTCTGAGAAGAATGCAAATAATTATAGCCCTGCGTGTCATACAAGCTTACCGGACAATCTGTAGTCAGCGGTTCTGGTCCTGCCTCGGGCGCCACCTGAGAACCTTAGGGCGAAACAAGAATTGGAACTTTGGGTACACAGTCTTGCAGAACCAGAGGAAAAGCAAAAAAAAGAGCAGTGACAATTGCAGTCTGGAAAGAAGAGTGGGCCAAAATTTCCACAGGCACGCTCAAGTGCGTAATTCGTGTCCAGGAGGTCACAAAGTAGCTAGAGCAACCAGGCAGGAAGCCGCTAACTACCTTATCCGGGTCATTATTGGCCATAGTAATATTTAGTATACTTAGACAAAATTAGTAAGGCTCTTTCCGATACGCTGTAATCAGGATGTTGAGGAAAATTGTGCTAACACGTTGCTAGTTTATTTGAGATAAAGATTGAGATGCAGAGATGAGACAAAGATTGTCTGCACATGTAACGCTGATTTATTGACTGGTTCACACGAGACGCGGAGGGACATCCTCCATGTAGGACGTAAGCACGTTTGGTGAAGCAAAGAACTTGACGGGTGATTTCGGTCATCTGATCCAGTAGGCATCTGCTACTCCTTATTGACGGAGTAGATTATGAGAGAAGAGCTGATAATTCGGTGGCCTCGGTGAAAATAAGTCAGGTTAAATCTTATACTCGGATCACATAGAATAGAATTTACTTTTCGCTGCCACGGACATTACGGGACTATAAGCTCGGCGTTTCATGCTAGTTCATCTAAGTCTGAGGTTTAGAGTCGCAAGTATTGATACAATAACATACATTTCAAAGAGTATGACTTCTCAAGTGTTTTGTTATCTATTCAAAAAAAAAATTAAACATTTCACTTACAAGTAGTCAAAGTTGTATCGTTGTACAGTAGATGTCACATTGTTTCAGTTGCGAATCGGACATTTAGAAGGTAGACTTCTAGTCAAATGAGCGCCATTTGACACAATAAAATCAAAGTTATCCGCCCCGACGTAACCCACGAAGTCAATAAAAGCATGCAGTGGTCTAAGAGTTACGGAATTCGGTGATGAACGGATGCTACACTAACTACATTTAACGTCAGAATTTGACCTCAACCATTAGACTGACTACTGTAGGTATGGCTACGCCGTATTCTATTGCTGAAATCGTCTACGTAGGAGAAAATAATCATACGCCATGGAGCTCATCGTTTTCCTTAATAAAAAGCCTTCAGTTTGGCGCGGGAAGTCGTAACCATCATTTGAATGCCACCAGGAAAAACCGAACTCTTACGTATTATCTACACGCAACAAATGAAGATACGGGCAAAAAATCGGGATTCACGTTAAAGTATTATTAACGGGTCTGGATTTAAAGCGTCAGGTGCTCTTCCTGCAAAATTTCCCGAAGTCGGAATTGGCTAACAGTATGACCATGTAATTTCCAATTGGGAACCATGGTTTCAGTGTCTTATTGAGGCGAAAAAATAAATTGAAGCATTAGCCGGTGTTAATGTTTCTATAGGTTTAATGAATAAAGCTGGATCACTTGAGTTCATTTCGTCTTTGCGCTACTTCACACACTGACTACCGAGAAACGCAAAGGAGAACTACAATAACGCTTACATATTTTTTACAGTCTAGTAAACAATCGCCGCTTCCTGTCGCCAAACCTGACCACGTACCATCATCTAATTAGTACTTCTGGTACAATCTAGGCTCGCCCAGTCGAATTATTCTTACCTTATTTTTGTCACTAACCACCATATGGAGCATCCGAGCAATACATTAACTGCCTCCACCACTAAAGGCTAGAAATCGAACGAGAGTTTTCGAAAAAAAAACACGATATTCGTTTCCTTGAACTTCGAATCGAACGCTGCTCATACGTCTCTCACTGTCCGCGATCGGGTTGTTACAGGTTATCGCGTATTAGGGCTGTCACCACAGAACGTGAGTGAGCAGCTGTCGTCTAATAGGAATAGGTTGGAAGCAGCAAATCGGAGGCCTCGACCTGGTCTGAATGTAGTAGTTTGACCAACAACAGCAGCAGCAACATCCACTTAATTCTCGCCGAACAGCAACTGAACAGAAGAAAAGAGAGCATCAATCGAAATCACTGTTTTAGCTACATCGGTCGTCGTTGCAGTTGTATTTTTTTTGTCAAAGTGAACGACTATCGTCGCCACCGCATCGGTAGCACCCCTGCCAGCGTTATTCGTAGATGCCGTGACAGCTGAGCGTTGACCGCTAAAACTGAACTCATTGACTACTTTTACCTTTGGGTTAACAACAGCTGTGTAACGCACGTAGGGCGGCCTGACGGGTCGTGTTGTGTGGCGCACAAGATGCAGAAAATCGCTAACGAAAGTAGACAGATGACCTTCAGCTTTCGTTTGCGCAGCGAAGACCTGCCACCATCATCGCGCAAGTGCTGCTAATGGTACATTGCTCATATTCAGATCAGTCCAGCAACCCCCCTCCCACACACATACACATACGCCAGCAGCGCACACAGTGGATCTCATAGTCGTCACCAGACTGGGGCATACGTCGAATAATAGCGGATGGAACGGTGGAGAAAGCTAACTGGTCAAACGCATCTGAAAGGGCCTGCCGTGAGGCAGACCCCAAAGAAGCTAAAAGCCGTTGATCTGCACTATTTTACAGTGAGTTCTGTTGTGTATTCAGAGATTTTTCTCCGAAACTGGCACTTTGTCATGTCGTTTTTTCTTTTTGTTTTATAGCTCTTTAACTATACTACTTGTGGCAACGCGTTGATTGCGCTATGTCCCGTTTCTCATGCCCATGATAAAATGTGATAAAGATTATACCGACAAAAGTGCTCCAAGCAAGGCTGACCGTGACTGACTATTTGGTCACGAAAAGTTGATGTAATGAAGTTTTTGACAGATCGGGTTGTATAGCTAAAAATCAATGATAAGTTACTTGGTCAGATAACTTCCGGGCTCGAGGGGCACAATAAAGAACGTCTAGCCCAATTCTATGAGCTACTTTAAAGACTATGGAAATTATCTGTGTAACAATTTTTAAATATGACAAATGTAAAACTAGAGCAACGACTTGGAACTAACTATCACCGATCGAAAAACCTCATCTGCAAAAATATGACCTTCAGACGGATGACTTTTGGGCAGGCCTTTAGCCGCCTGCTGTAGCGCCAATCTTTTGAGTCCTTTAGCAATCCCCCATTTGCTTAAGAATAGGGTAATGTTATATGCTTAAAATTAACGAGGCCCCCGGCTAAAAAGCAAACAAGATTCGTTTTAAGTATACATGACTTTCACAGAAGAGGCTTCTTAACGTAACGTGCTATTGTACGACTGTAAAATGTGCCCTCTGCTTTCTTACAACAATATGTCACCGTTTAAAATACTTACAATTACAAGCAAACCCAAACGGGTCTAATTTCAATCTGATAAAGCGGAATGTTTCGATTCAGATATTAACCAAAATCTACCTTCGCTTATAACATTGCAACCTAAAAGATGTCTGGACAAAAACTTAAGCTACAAGCCTTTCCCTTTAATATGAGGGACATCCTTTCACCACAATACGGGCATCCTTTTGTCATAGAACGTATCTTTCGTCCGATTACCACTAATAGCGGAAATACAGCACCTTCAACATAAGCAAGATGTCTATCGACCCGCAGTGCTGTTAACCCTAAATTACCAATAGCGTAACCAGTCTTCTACACGGACCATTACCGTTACGGCAGATTTTTTTGGCCAAGGTTAAGCTAAGGGCATCGCTCGATGTTTTTACCAGTCAGCGAGGACGCTTTTGTGGTAGACACATATCTACGCCTGTATAGTAAAGCAGACTTTTTCTGTTGCCTTCATTTTGCATCTTTATGAACAACAATAACGACTAATACCACATCAACTACGCTAGCTATTATTTGCTTTTCTCTGCCACTCTACCCACAATAACGAGATAAGGAACGCGTAAAAAGAGAAAGGAAAACAGACGGACGCACGCCTTCAAACCTCTTTGGGTATTTCAGGCCAAGCAGCAACATTATCAAAATTGCGTCACCACTAACTGGAACCAAAAGGGATTATGCAACAGTACTGATAATTATAATCATATAATAATATCGATGTGCAATCGACAGCCCTGGCTTGTCCGTAGCGGATATCGCTATTGGCATTTGGGCGCATAGTTCAGTAGTGCTCAGAGGATCTGATCGGCAACGACGACCGATTCGAGAAAAGGTAAGGCCTCGAAAGTGTGATGTCAGTTTCATGAAAGTATGGATCCGAAAGCTCCTCTGCAATACTGCGAGCGACACACCACTTTATATAGCTGGTACGACCTTTACTGGTTTTAGCTACAATTTATTGAATGAGTCACTAATTGGAAAACGTACACGTCAGGCTTTCATTTACTTATCACTGGTTAGGATCTCTGATTACAAAAGCAATAGCAAAGTAGGCGGACCTATATGTAGGGGATTGTACAATGTGATTTTTGGCCGCAAAAGTCATTAGACGACCGCTAATACACATAATGACAGACAAATGCAATATGATAATGAATAATAATTGTATTTGCAGTAATGTAAAAAAAGTACGAGCACAACCATCTTTTGTTAAGGATCCACCTTTGGTGCTCAAGACGAGAATGATCTAAATTTAGGATCAAATAAGAATTAACGTTATCAACTGATATCGACATTAACCAGCCTTACCGATTGGAGCGGTTTTCAGTCTTCTGACATCAAAAAAGCCATGGTCACTCGACTGTCACAGAAAGAATTACCCACAGCAACAGACGTCTTCACCTTGTCAAGGCATGCAGTATAGCTTCTAAAAGTAATAATCAAAACATGATTAAGAAACACGAAGTATTGTTCTAAAAAACTGAACGCTTATATTTGGGTTTTGCTATGATATTGTCATCGAGTCTAAGCGGTTACACTGAAGTGCTTCGGTACAAAATACCACTCTCTTCATATTCAATTAGAATAATTCAATAAGAATTGCAATTGTCGCATTTTCAGTATTAAATAGGCATCCGAATAAGAGTGAGAAGGCGCATTTTTAATTGGTTTAATATTTAGTAGACCTTTTAGAGAAAAAGGCGAACGCTTATTCAAAATACCCTACGACATGTCTATCTATACACAAAGAAAGTCAATACCATATTGGTTAATACGAAATAATACTTCCTAGACTAAAGGCTTTCTTAAGAGCCGCACAATCTATGTATCTTAGTATCGTCTTCATGAATGGTGACGGATTTAATTGAAGCCGGCGGCTCAACAGAAGTTTTGATTGAATCAAGGCACTGAGCCTATATTTTCAGGGGTTTTCATATGTCATTGTACGGAAGATAATGTTTTCAGGCTCACTCTATAACTGAATTAGCTGAACTTAAGTCACTTCAAGGAATTTAGTTACAGGTAAATAGGAATATTACCTGCTACAAGGTATGGCCATTGTGCAAGGGTCTACCTTGCCTTAACCTATGCCCCTTCAAACTGCCTAGAAGGCATTCAACAAATATGCTCTTCGGGTTCGTCGCAGGAAGCAAACAGCGTCATTATTCACGCTTGCCAAATAGAGAAAGAGAGAGAGAGAGAGAGAGAGAGAGAGAGTAAGGGAGAAAATTCGTATAGGAAAGAATTAATTATACGGAGACGATGCCATTGTGTGACCGGGGATACATTTCAGCATGGGATTGATTTGCTCTTCCGCAGTGGTCATCTGCCATAGGTCACCATCTGCGTAACAACTACTACTAATATTAACGAGCTAAGTTCAGGACTGAAAGGATTTACTTATGAATTGAATGTATTAATTGAAACAAAGCGATCGGTTGATGCGATGACGGGGACGACGAAGTGTAGCTGAAATGCTAGAAAAACTACGGCAATAAGCAGTGAGCACTGACGTTAACAATCGGACTGAGTTTTCTGAGTTTCCAAACAAATTAGCTAGTGATAATTGTTGTTGGCCAAGATAGTGCGACATGAACATCAGTGGAAGCTATAATGGTTTCATATATACAAACATTTCAGCATTAACAAGAATAACTCGGAGTAGATGTTGCGCTATCAGTTTACGTGGTAATTATCAATATTGTTTAACGTAGATGTAGTAGTCAGAAGCTAAGCCCGCGAACGTATAGTCCCAATAGTTTACCCGAAACTGTGAAGTTTGCACAAGCTATCCCTTAGCTGGATGCATTTGGAAATATCCGTGTCGTCTCTGTCGCGTGCGTGTAACCACTGCAAAAAGACTGAGGGCCAGTTAGACAAAGTTCCAGTTAGTTATATTACTAATTATACAGGCGAACTAATCAGCCTTCGAATATCTAATGGTCATATAAATGCGAAAACTTGTTACCTAGTTACAAAACAGGTTTTTCATAAATCGACAGATATTCTGTCAACTTACTAGTTCAAAACTAAGCGAGTTTTCCTGTCTAGAATTCTAGATAGCAATGACTCAACCTGGCAAGTCAACATGGCTTCATCATAACTTACTAGCAAACGGCTGATCACCAACAAGAACCATTTAGCAAGGTAAGCGAACCGTCAACAACGTGCAGCACATCACTTATTCAAATAGTATGAATGTTAGTTGGCACCCGTATCACTGCCGCCGGCATTAAAGGAGCATATGAAGAAATATCGAACGCGACGCATTTCTACGCCACACGAATCTGAGCCAACCTGA